TGCGCGCACGTTGCCGGGGGCGCACGGCCGGGGCGGTGCCGCCCGCCTGCGCGACGTTGCGGTTGTTCGGGGTTCCCAAGGTCGCTTCGGAGCAGGGGGCTGCCGGCGCTTCAGCTCCGCGCGCGGGGTCCCTTGGCTCCCCGCGCGCCGCCGGATGTTCCTGGCTGGTCACCTTGTTTTTAGCGTCACACCCCGGCCCGCCGTGCACCTAACGCAACTTGACCCGTTTGCTCTGCGGCCTCCCCTCATTCTGCAAGCAGGCGCGGGTGTTTTCTGTGCGTGCCGTTACCTGGGCTCGGGAACACCTTTGACAAACGCGTGCTAGACAAAGCTTAAGGGCTTTGAATGGGAGACCTGAGATGTTCTACCGGCAGAGACATTGTCGTTTGAATTTCCCTGTTTGTAGTTGTTTTCTTTTCTAGACTTGATTCCATACTCTCCCTGCGCGGCCCAGGAGCCTTCTGTTTGCCTGGGGTGCACCTTGCCTACGTGCCTGTGGGCGCTTTGTGGAGCTCACCCTCCGTCCGTGGCATGTCACAGCACTAACCTTACGGTGTTAGCCAGCTTTAGGTCACTAATGGTCTTAACCGACAGAGAGCCTCAGCCGCCTGTGAAAAGAAACATTATTAGAGGAGCAGCAGAAACGGCGATTTCCCAGCGGCGTTTCTTTCTGCGTGGTAAACACTAATGAGGCGTTTCCTGTGTACCAGGCATCACTGAGGGTTATCTAAGTGCAAACTCGTTTTTTCTGTTTAGGTGCTTACTATCCTCTCCGTTTATAGACGGGGAAACTGAGGCATAGAGCGGTTAAGCGCCTGACTGTAAGCGGTGGAGCCAGGAGCCCAGCCCAGGCTGTCGAGCTCCAGGGTCCTCTCCAGTTGTGACACTGACTTGGGGACACTTGGCCGGGCAGAGGGTCGGGCATGTACGGGCAGTTGAGAGGGCCTCCCGGCAGCCTGGATTCTGGGTGATGACGTGTGACAGGCACAGTCATGACTCCCGACGCTACCTTTGGCTTCAGCGCTCCGTGACGGTGCTTCGCCGTCCGCTCCCACCTTCTGCAGGCAAGCAAGCCTGTTAGAGCAGCTGCCCCAGACCCAGTGACCTGAGCACGGAAAGCCCACCAGCTGACCCTAGAGCACAGGCTTGAGCTAGGCTGGCAACAGCTTGGCCGGGTTGGCAGGCCGGCCACAGCCTCCTGCCTGGGTGGGTGGGTGACAGGGCGTGCTCTGCACTCATGGGTGCAGGGTCTACGGTGTGTGCTCACAGGCTCGAGCAGGGCATCGAGGAAAACGAGGAGTGGTGAAGAAGCAACAGATAGCACTTTGTTCCCAGAGCATATTGGTGAGTGGGATTCTGCCAGGCAAACTCCTGCTGACCCTTCAAGATCCCACTCAAACACCCCCTCCCTCCTTAACAGGCATATGGTCAGTGCAGCACTTTGACACACTGACACATAGCTGGGGCTCCCCAGTTACTTCCTGTTTTTGATCTCCGGAGTTAGGCACCATGCCTGGCACAGTAAGTGCTTGGTCCGTACAGAGCATGAGGATCCTGGATCTGTCGGGGAGTGTTTTGGAGTAGATGAGTAAGGAGCTCTGGTCGTGTAGTGCCTAAGGCATCTGACTGCTAACCAGAAGGTTGGTGGTTCAAACCAGCCACTCTGCAGAAGGAAAACAGGGCAATCTACTTGCCTAAAGATTTATCACCTCGGAAACCCAGTAGGGGTTGCTGTGAGTCAGAATCAACTTGATGGCAGTGAGTTTGCTTGTTTTTTTTTTTTTTGGAGGAGGGTATTCCAGATAGGGAGCATCAAGCAGTAGATGGAGGGAGGTTCCGAGGAGTCATGGGTGGTCCCGTTTGGGGACTGCATGGAGCTGGTGTGGGCCGAGACCAGAAGGGCAGGGGAGGCTGGCCTGCTCTGTGGCCTGGCCCGGTGCTAACATGGAGCAGGCCAGGCACAGGCAGGAAGTGCTTTGAAGCCTCTGAGGCTCAGAGGGGCCCCAACAAATCCAGTGCCCCCGTCCCTGGCTGACTGGAACGGATGACAGGGTCCCGGGCACCAGGCTCTCCTGGCCTGCAGGGTGCTGCACAGTCGTTGTGCAGTAAACACAGCTGTTACAATACTGTAGGAATTGTTTTCTTGCCTGTGTGCTGGGAATGAGGTATTGCATAGCTTGGTTGCAGGGGTGGAAACGGGTACCCGATCCCGGGGAGCAGGATGGCACTGACGGAGAGGTGGGGACCTGGAACTGTTTGGAGTTGAGAGCTGCAGGTGGCAGCTCCAGCAGACTGCCTGGGCGCCACTTGGCCACCTGGACGGCAGCTCAGCCTGTTTGTGCCTGGTTTCCTTGCTCTTAAGACCAGAAAGGGTGTTGCCCTGCCCAGAAGGCTGTCCAGCCCAGCCCAGCCCAGCTCCAGTGACCTGCACACCCAGGGGCAGGGGTAGGGACTCAAAAGGGATGGGCCTCAGGTAAGGGGTGGTACCTGGGCAGGGGCTGGGTGAGCGCCCAGGTGGGGGATGGGTTCTGGGACGGGGGTTCAATTGAGTAAGTGCCTTCTGTGGCTGGAGCTCGCTGTCATAAAGGATGGGGTCTGAGGATGCTGCAAGTGTCAGGGGTTGAATTGGTTAGAATCCCATTTGGAATGGGTGGTCCTTATTATGTTAGAACAGGATAGGGGAGGCGGTGTCTCGCACTGTCTTTTGAGCTAGGGATTAAATAAGGGTGCTGAGAAGGAAATATGGGGAAAGGCTGATGCCAAGCCCCATGGAGACCTCTCGGGAGCCAGGTAACAACCTCAGGGGACAAGGACTTTCCCCAGAGCTGACAGCCAGAAGTCCCCCCCCCCCCAGCTGGTACCTGGAATTCAGACTTCCGGCCTCCTAAACCGGGAGAAAACCCATGGTGGTTAGTTAAAGCCGCCGCTTGTGGTGTTTGTTACTGCGGCACTGGGTAGCTGCTGTTACAGGGCTCCGTGATGGTTTTCGGCAGCTGTTACTGAAAGCACTACCCTTCCCCACAAGGGGACACACAGGTAGCCTGCCTGTCTCCAGGAACTGACAATGAGAGACGTCTTGGGGATGAGGGGGATGGGGCCTCAGGGAGCTGTAGAACTGGGCCTGGGTGCTGGGCAGCTCTTGGATGGCTTCTTAGTCCTTTTTGTAGTTTGAGTTGTACCCCTTGAGGGCCCTTGATTGGCACCACGGATGTTCAGGTGCTGTCTCTGGGGGTAGGAAGTGGCAGAAAGGGTGCTCTCGGCAGGGAACAGCCACAGCCAGGCCTCTGTTCCCTCTGGTCCCGGAACGGCCGCAGAGCCCCTCCAGCACGCAGCCCCCTCCTCCCTTTGACCTTCTTCTGAAACTTCCGGTGCTGTAATGTCACCTCCACTTGCAGCTGTGTCTAGCAGCAGAGAGGAGAGGGCGGAGCCTGGCCGCCCCCTCCCCCCACGCCCTCCTCCGGGCTCTGACTGCTGCCTCCCGCCTGTTCCCAGCTCCTGGGTTGGGGCTTCGCCCCTGCCTGTGTGTGCTTTTGGTTGGAGGACGGTGCCCCTGCTGCCAAGTACAGCCCCTGCAGACACCGGGTAAAGGCCTCAGGTTCCAGCAGCGAGCTGCCGTGTCTGACCTGTGGCCTGTACCCCGACTGCACACCCTGACGTGCTCTCGTGGAGGACTCAGGTCCAGACCGAGCTCTTGTGCCGCTGCCCCCATGCTAACTGGCTGAAATGCACAGTAGGCAGTTGAAATGGAGTGCTGCTTTTCTTTTCAAATTGGAAATCAGCGTGGGACCTGGAGCCTAAGGGGTGAGGACAGGCCCCACAGAGCCGCAGGGAGGGTGGCGGAGTCAGACTGCCCGCGCTCCGCTCCGCAAGTCTGCTGCATGACAGCTTAGGCTTTCTGTGCCCGGGCTCCCTGTTCTTAACACAGGCCGGCCTTGTGGGCGCCCACACGGCTTCCGGAGCGCTCTGTGATGCTGCTGTCTTTCGTTCGCACCCTTTTGGTCGGGTGCTTGTTGGAGAAGGAACGGGGCAGAGGTTGTCCGAAAGGGAGGAACCGGCCAGGCCTGCTCACTGTCAGAGAGGAGGGCGGTGCCGGCCGAGGCCCCGCCTTCTTGCTCGGGGCGGGGGGAGGGGGATGCTAGCTGGGGCCCTGCCTTCAGTGCTGTCAGGGAGGGCGGTGCTAGCCGAGGCTCCGCCTTCAGTGCTGTCAGGGAGGGCGGTGCTAGCCGAGGCTCCACCTTCAGTGCTGTCAGGGAGGGCGGTCCTAGCCGAGGCCCCGCCTTCAGTGCCATGGGGCGGAGGAGGGCGGTGTTGGCAGAGGCCCCGCCCAGCACTGGATTTCCGTGTAGTGAGCACATACAGTCTTGGCGGGCCCTCTCCCTAGCAGGACTATTTTTCCGTGCTATGTTACTTGGCCTTTCTCTGTGCCCAGCGCCCCAGGAGACAAGAAGTGACTCCTGAGTTGTGTCAGATGTGTTTGCTGGTGTGTCAACGTTGAATGTGCTTCTGTGTTCTGGGAGTCTTAGAACGGGTCGTGTGTTCAGACCCAGGGTGGGCCGGGCAGCTGAGAGCCAGGAGCCAGGCCCGCTCGCAGACCTGCAGTTGGGTGGCTGCTCACGGGACCCACTGGCCGCCGCCGGTCAGGGCCACAGGTGTTGGAGGTGCTGCGCACGTGCTGCGGGCTGTGCTTCGTGGGGAGGAGCCTGGGCAGCTAGCAGGGTGTGCTGGGAGAACGAGCGTGGACGAGGGGCACCGTGCGGGTGCTGCCTTAGGCCACCTGGGGTCCTCACACCTCACGACAGCTCCTAGGACTAGCTGACGACTGTGTCCACGCATCTGTGAAGGGCGGTCACGGCGGTGGTTTGGAGCCACTGGAGAGGAAAACAGCTTAGGCTGCCCAGTTTGACCCAAAGCTTTACCCGACACAGTTCTGCAGCTTAGGAATAGGTGGGCTCCTCGTGCTGCTCCCCAGGACGGGAGTGGGAACGAGCTCGTTGTGGGCCCATGGGAACAGACTCTTTCCTCTGTATGGAAAGGGGAGGAAGGTGTGCACACACCAAGGTTGAATGAAGTACCTGGGGAAGGTGGAGTCACCTGGTGGCCTCTGGGTGGGACATCCAGAGGTGGGGGTGGGGGTGAGTGGCATGTGTCCGGGGTAAGTGGTGAGGGTGAGGGGTGTGGGGGCTGGGGGCGGGTGGGAGGGCCAGAAGGGGGGGTTGCCAGTTCGTGGGGGGTGGGAAGAAGCCAAAGAGGGGTGTAGGAGTAAGGGGTGGGGGATCCAGCCAGAGGGGGGTGGGGGGACGGCCTGAAGCACTGTCCGTTTCCTTAAACAGGACACCTGCCAGAACTTTGTGGGGATGTGTGTTTACCCACGATGGGGTGACATCAGCCCCCTGGCAGCAAGCTCCAGGACCATGCGCTGGCTGTTGGGAGCAGCCCCCTTTCTGAGACTCTCTCCCCGACTTCTCCCTGCCTCCCCCTCTCCCTGGGCTCTGAGACCCCCATTCACTCCCCCTGCCCCCTACCTGGCTCTGTGTCCCCCCCCCTCAGCTGCCTCTTGAGGTCCCACCTGGTGCTTCAGCAGCTGGTCTCCGCCCACGCTGCCTGTACCTCCTGCCTGCGTGCCAGTCTCCAGGTGCCCCTGTGCCCTCTGAGCCCACATCCACAGTCGGTGCCCTGACCGCCAAGTCTGTGGCTGGATGTGAGCTGAGCTCACAGTGGGCCGGGCAGGGTCACAATCCTTTCCCCGCATGGCTTTTTGTCTCCCCTGCAGTTGTTGATTCTGTCTTTTCTCCAGTCAGTGGTCACTAATGCACCCCGGACTCCCCCAGCCGCAGAAGCCTGTCTCAGGTGTTCAGGCAGGTTGGTTTCTTGGGGTACCTCTCCTTGGGTCTCGAGTCGCCCCCACCATCCTTCTGGGTTCCTCTGGCCTCTCTAGTGGGTCCCAGGCCCTCCGTTTTGGGGTTGCACCCACGTTTGGCTGGGGCACATCCTTGATGGCTGCCTCAGGGCAGCTGCTGTTGGACGCATTGGGCTGGATTCTGACTCAGCGGCCCGTGGATGGAGCCGAACCGTCCTGTGGGCTGTAATCGTTACAGACATCAGCAGGTCTTTCCTCTGGGGAGTTAGCTGCTGGGTTCAAATTGCCAGCCTTTGCTTGACTGCCGAGCACTTACCCGCTGCACCACCAGGGCTCTTTGGATACTGTGTGGGACGTCGATTTTTAGAAGAGCTCCACGCCCTTTCCCCGGGCCCCCAACATTAACACTCCACCTCATCTGCTCTGTTCTCCTCTCCTGCATCCTCGTGCAGCCGTGTTTTTCCAGAACCATCTGAGAGCGAGTTCCTCCCACATCCTGCAGTGTGACTGTCCTGGCAGGGATGTCATAACCTCCGCAAAATGATCAAAGTCAAGACATTAAAAGTGCAGATCAAAGGGACCGCAAGGTAGCACGTCACCAAACCTCCTTCATCGCTGGTGGGAGTGTAAGATGGTGCAGCCACTGTGGGAAGCAGTGTGGCAAGGCCTCAGAGGGTTAAACATAGCACTGCCATAGGGAGCCAGCAGTTCCACTCCTGTGTGTGTGAAAGACCCGAAAGCAGTGCGCACTGCTGCATGGTTCCTAATAGCCGGAGACGGAAGGCACCAAGTGCCGTCAACAGAGGAACCAAAATGTGGTACCTTTGTACAATGGCATATCATTCAGCTGCAAAGAGGTAACGAAGTTCTGGTACGGGTTACAACTTGCACGAACCTTGAAAGCGTTATACTGAAGTCAGCCACAAAAGAACAAATCCTACATAGCCCAGTTTATAGTATCCAAAACAGGAAACGGAGAGACAAAGGTTTTCCAGGAGACAGGGAAACGGGGAGCTAGTGTTTAAGGAGTAATGTTTCTGTTAAGGAGTCCTGGTAGCACAGTGGTTAAAGCACTCAGCTGCCAACCAAAAGGTCGGCGGTTTGAACCCACCAGCCACTTTGCTGGAGAAAGATGAGGCAGTTGACTTCCTAAAGGCTAATAGCCTTGGAGACCCTGTGGGGCAGTTCCACTCTGTCCTCTAGGGGCGCTGTGGGTCAGAATGGACTCCAGGCAGTGGGTGTGGTTTGGGCTTTGCTTCTG